GCATACCTGATGGGATCAGATTACTGCACACCTGATGGGATCACATTACCCCACACCTGATAGGATCACATTACTGCATACCTGATGGGATCACATTACTGCACACCTGATGGGATCACATTACTGAATACCTGATAGGATCACATTACTGCATACCTGATGGGATCACATTACTGCACACATGATGTGATCACATCACTACACACCTGATGGGATCACAATATTACACACCTGATGGGATCACATTACTGAACACCTGATGGGATCACCTTAATACATACCTGATGGGATCACATCACTACACACATGACGGGATCACATTATTACTCACCTGATGGATCACATTATTACACACCTGATGGGATCACATTATTACACACCTGTTAGGATCACATTATTACACACCTGATGGGATCACATTATTACACACTTGATAGGATCACATTACTACATACCTGATGGGATCACATTACTGCACATCTGATGGGATCACCTTACTGCACACCTGATGGGATCACATTACTGTACACCTGATGGGATCACCTTACTGCACACCTGTTGGGATCACATCACTACACACCTGATGGGATCACATTATTACACCTGATGGGATCACCTTACTGCACACCTGATGGGATCACATTATTACACACGTGATGGGATCACATTACTGCATACCATTTGGGATCACATTATTGCATACCTGTTGGGATCAAATTACTGCACATCTGATGGGATCACATTACTGCACACCTGATGGGATCACATTACTGCACATCTGATGGGATTACATTAAAGTATACCTGTTGCGTTCCCTTACTATATACTTGTTGGGATCACATTATTGCATGCCTGAGGGGATCACATTACTTCACACTTGATGGGATCACTTTACTTCACACCTGATGGGATCACATTACTGCACACCTGATCGGATCACATTATTACACACCTGTTGGGATCACATTACTGCACATCTGATGGGATCACCTTACTGCACACCTGATAGGATCACATTACTGTACACCTGATGGGATCACCTTACTGCACACCTGTTGGGATCACATCACTACACACCTGATGGGATCACATTATTACACCTGAGTGGATCACCTTACTGCACACCTGATGGGATCACATTATTACACACGTGATGGGATCGCATTACTGCATACCATTTGGGATCACATTATTGCATACCTGTTGGGATCAAATTACTGCACATCTGATGGGATCACATTACTGCACACCTGATGGGATCACATTACTGCACATCTGATGGGATTACATTAAAGCATACCCTGATGGGACTCACCTTGTTGGGATCATACTTGCCTGGGATCACATTATTGCACACCTGATGGGATCACTTTACTTCACACCTGATGGGATCATTACTGCACACCTGATGGGATCACATTATTATTGCACACCTGTTGGGATCACATTACTACACCTGATGGGATCACATTATTGCACACCTGATGGGATCACATTACTGCATACCTGATGGGATCACCTTACTATATACATGGGATCACATTATTGCGTGCCTATGGGATCACATTACTTCACACTTGATGGGATCACTTTACTTCACACCTGATGGGATCACATTATTGCGAGCCTGATGGGATCACATTACTACATACCTGTTGGGATCACATTACCGCACACCTGATGGGATCACATTATTGCACACCTGATGGGATCACATTGCTGCACACCTGACGGAATCACATTACTGCATGCCTGATGGGATCATATTACTACATACCTGATGGGATCACTTTACTGCACACCTGATGGGATCACATTACTACGTAGTATACATACCTGATGGGATCACATTACTACGTAGTATACATACCTGATGGGATCACATTACTATATACCTGATCGGATCACATTACTGCACACCTGATGGGATCACATTACTACATACCTGATGGGATCACATTACTGGAAACCTGTTGGGATCACATTACTGCATACCTGATGGGATCACCTAACTGCACACCTGATGGGATCACATTACTGCACACCTGATGGGATCACATTACTGCACATCTGATGGGATTACATTAAAGTACACCTGTTGCGTTCACCTTACTATATACTTGTTGGGATCACATTATTGCATGCCTGAGGGGATCACATTACTTCACACCTGATGGGATCACTTTACTTCACACCTGATGGGATCACATTATTGCGAGCCTGATGGGATCACATTACTACATACCTGTTGGGATCACATTACTGCACACCTGATGGGATCACATTATTGCACACCTGATGGGATCACATTGCTGCACACCTGACGGAATCACATTACTGCATGCCTGATGGGATCATATTACTACATACCTGATGGGATCACTTTACTGCACACCTGATGGGATCACATCATTACATACCTGATGGGATCACCTTACTGCACACCTGATGGGATCACCTTACTGCACACCTTATGGGATCACATTACTGAACACCTGATGGGATCACATTACTGCACACCTGATGGGATCACATTACTGCACACCTGATGGGATCACATTATTACACACCTGATGGGATCACATTACTGCACACCTGATGGGATCACATTATTACACACCTGATGGGATCATATTACTATATACCTGATGGGATGACCTTACTGCACACCTGATGGGATCACATTACTATACACGTAGTATACATACCTGATGGGATCACCTTACTGGAAACCTGTTGGGATCACATTACTGCATACCTGATGGGATCACCTAACTGCACACCTGATAGGATCACCTTCCTGCACACTTGATTGGATCACCTTACTGCACACCTGATGGGATCACATTACTGCACACCTGATTTGATCACATTACTGCACACCTGATGGGATCACATTTCTACATACCTGATGGGATCACATTATTACACACCTGATGGGATCACATTACTACATACCTGATGGGATCACCTTACTGCACACCTGATGGGATCACATTACTACATACCTAATGGGATCACCTTACTGCACACCTGATTGGATCACATTACTATATACCTGATGGGATCACATTACTGCACCCCTGATTGGATCACATTACTATATACCTGATGGGATCACATTACTATATACCTGATGGGATCACATTACTGCACACCTGTTGGGATACCTGTTGGTATACCTGTTGGCATACCTGTTGAGGTCCAACATCCCATAGCCTGGAATCCTGCTGCATACAAAGCATTCAGATGTTAGATAGATAACGCTCCTTTCTCCTTGTCTTACAATTGTGATGATTCCCATACTGATGATTGAGTTTCGTCAACTGTCAGCTTGCAGATATCCTTTAAATCTATCATGTTGCATGTAGGAATATCCTGTACACACTGCAATCATGAGGCCTGATCTTGTGTGTGCAACCCCAGCACCTTGTGCAGCAGTAGCCATGGTAGAGGCGTGCCATGATCAGATATTATCTTTCTGCTTCCTTGAACTGTTTGAGAGGCATTCTAGAAGTTGTGAGAAATAGGAATGACAAGCATGAAAACATTATAAGTATCTTTACTGAAATGTCGCTATTGTACAATAAAGAAGTTGATCAACCATAAACAATTTTCATTCCCTCTACTTCCTTGTTTCAATGTTGATGGCTCGGCCCCCTCTCATGTTGCAATTTGCTGTGCAAGTAAGATCATTCAGCCAGAAACATCATCTATTAGAAACCTGTGAAGATCCAGGTTGGAATTGATCTTCAGTAATCCATGCTTGTTGTAAGAGGCGACTAATGGGATCGGGGTGTCAGGCTTGCTGAATTGGTTAATGACGCGTTCCATCGTATCCCAATTGCGTAGATCAATGCTCATGCTGTTGATGACTGGATTGTCTTGTCCACACTCGATTATTAACAGACCGCCACCATATAGCTGGAATATTGCTGAGTGTAGAATATAGCTGGAATATTGCGGAATATGGCCCCATCTGTGGTTATGTCCATGTGCTGCAACACCAGGGGTTTCAAAGTGTTGCTATTAGGTGGCCCGATCTGTGGTTTTGTCCATGTGCTGCAACACCAGGGGTTTCATGAGATACCACACAAGCTAATATGAAGTTGAACTTTCCAGTTTGTCCAAGACGGTGATGGTAAGGTCTGAATTAGGGTCTACTGTACAGATTTGAGAACTTGATTTTATTCACACTAAGATTAATTCTGCCCTGAAAATATCTAGCTGAAATACTAAAAGGATGAAGTGGCAATTCTGGACAAAGTGTTGACTAACTGTTGTTGTATGTATAATAGAAATTGAAAACTCTTGTATTAGACATAATGCTGAAACCCGTGAAGGTCTGGGTGAGAATGCGCCTTCAGTAACCTATGCTTGTTGTAATAGGCGACTAACGGCATCGGGTGGTCAGGCTCGCTGGCTTGGTTGACACATGTCATCGGTTCCCACTTGCGCAGATTGATGCTCATGCTGTTGATCACTGGATTGTCTGGTCCAGACTCGATTATTTACAGACCGCCGCCAATATAGCTGGAATATTGCTGAGTGTGGCGTAAAACTGAACTCACTCACTCACTCACTCACTCATAATGCTGAAATATTCTAAAAGTAAATGAAAAACAATACTAAACCACAACTGTTGCCTAAATACACAAGAGTTTGCAGGATTCTTTACTGCAGGAAGTAATTGAATCTAAGCAGGCAGAATTTCTGCTCTTCAATGTACTTGGAAGATCTGGTTATAATTGTTCATCCATAGAGCATTAACATTTTATGCACACCTTATCATTCACGTGGTAAGACATTTTTGGGGGTGGTATTCAAGCTATTTCTACTCTCTTAGGAGTTTGGTATGTGATGCGACAGAATGGAGTTTTCTGTTAAAATATTATGTATAATGCTGTTCATGGTAACTGTTTCCATTTGCTCATGTTGTTGTATGGCAGTGTCATCCATCACAGAACCATGTTGTAATTAGATGTTTGATAGGCATTTAGAAGTTGGTAGGGAAATACAACACATTTGATATGGATGTGCAACTTCTTTATTATTTACACACGTTTCTGGGCTGATGAAGGGCCCAGAAACATCACCTGATGAAGGGGCAAGTATTAGCCCAGAAACATCACCTGATGAAAGGGCAAGTATTAGCCCAGAAACATCACCCGATGAAGGGGCAAGTATTAGCCCAGAAACATCACTCGATGAAGGGGCAAGTATTAGCCCAGAAACATCACCTGATGAAGGGGAAAGTATTAGCCCAGAAACGCCACCTGATGAAGGGGCAAGTATTAGCCCAGAAACATCACCCGATGAAGGGGCAAGTATTAGCCCAGAAACGTCACCTGATGAAGGGGCAAGTATTATCCCAAAACATCACCTGATGAAGGGGCAAGTATTAGCCCAGAAACGTCACCCGATGAAGGGGCAAGTATTAGCCCAGAAACATCACCTGATGAAGGGGCAAGTATTAGCCCAGAAACATCACCTGATGAAGGGGCAAGTATTAACCCAGAAATGTCACCCGATGAAGGGGCAAGTATTAGCCCAGAAACATCACCTGATGAAAGGGCAAGTATTAGCCCAGAAACATCACCTGATGAAAGGGCAAGTATTAGCCCAGAAACGTCACCCGATGAAGGGCAAGTATTAGCCCAGAAGCCCTGATGAAGGGGCAAGAAGCCCGTCACCTGATGAAGGGGCAAGTATTAGCCCAGAAACATCACCTGATGAAAGGGCAAGTATTAGCCCAGAAACGTCACCCGATGAAGGGGCAAGTATTAGCCCTGAAACGTCACCTGATGAAGGGGCAAGTATTAGCCCAGAAACGTCACCTGATGAAGGGGCAAGTATTAGCCCAGAAACATCACCTGATGAAGGGGCAAGTATTAGCCCAGAAACATCACCTGATGAAGGGGCAAGTATTAGCCCAGAAACATCACCTGATGAAGGGGCAAGTATTAGCCCAGAAACATCACCTGATGAAGGGGCAAGTATTAGCCCAGAAACATCACCCGATGAAGGGGCAAGTATTAGCCCAGAAACATCACCTGATGAAGGGGCAAGTATTAGCCCAGAAACATCACCCGATGAAGGGGCATTAGCCTATTAGCCCAGAAACATCACCTGATGAAGGGGCAAGTATTAGCCCAGAAACGTCACCTGATGAAGGGGCAAGTATTAGCCCAGAAACATCACCTGATGAAGGGGCAAGTATTAGCCCAGAAACGTCACCTGATGAAGGGGCAAGTATTGGCCCAGAAATGTTGTGTGTAAGTAATACAGAAGTTGCACATCCATATCAAGTGTGTTATATCATGTTGTAATTGTACTGCATTGTACATGCTAGTAACTGATATGAATGTAATCACCACTGTCTCTACTCATGTAATCACTTTCTTATTGTATATTGCAATTGTTCCGCCATTTTTTATCCTGTGCAGTAATTTGTATTGATTAGTAAACCTAGATGATTTTAGAATATAATTCTTAATTGTGTCACATTTCTGCGTTGTTTGTTGGTTTCACATGGAATTATTTAACACTATGGGTATGTTATTCACTGTATAATTCTTTAACACTATGGGTATGTTATTCACTGTATAATTCTTTAACACTATGGGTATGTTAATCACTGTATAATTCTTTAACACTATGGGTATGTTAATCACTGTATAATTCTTTAACACTATGGGTATGTTAATCACTGTATAATTCTTTAACACTAAGGGTATGTTATTCACTGTATAATTCTTTAACACTATGGGTATGTTAATCACTGTATAATTCTTTAACACTATGGGTATGTTAATCACTGTATAATTCTTTAACACTATGGGTATGTTATTCACTGTATAATTCTTTAACACTATGGGTATGTTATTCACTGTATAATTCTTTAACACTATGGGTATGTTAATCACTGTATAATTCTTTAACACTATGGGTATGTTAATCACTGTATAATTCTTTAACACTATGGGTATGTTAATTTAACTTTAACTATGGGTATGTTATTCACTGTATAATTCTTTAACACTATGGGTATGTTATTCACTGTATAATTCTTTAACACTATGGGTATGTTAATCACTGTATAATTCTTTAACACTATGGGTATGTTATTCACTGTATAATTCTTTAACACTATGGGTATGTTATTCACTGTATAATTCTTTAACACTATGGGTATGTTATTCACTGTATAATTCTTTAACACTATGGGTATGTTGTTCACTGTATAATTCTTTAACACTATGGGTATGTTATTCACTGTATAATTCTTTAACACTATGGGTATGTTATTCACTGTATAATTCTTTAACACTATGGGTATGTTATTCACTGTATAATTCTTTAACACTATGGGTATGTTATTCACTGTATAATTCTTTAACTCTATGGGTATGTTAATCACTGTATAATTCTTTAACACTATGGGTATTCACTGTATAAATTCTTTAACACTATGGGTATGTTATTCACTGTATAATTCTTTAACACTATGGGTATGTTAATCACTGTATAATTCTTTAACACTATGGGTATGTTATTCACTGTATAATTCTTTAACACTATGGGTATGTTATTCACTGTATAATTCTTTAACTCTATGGGTATGTTATTCACTGTATAATTCTTTAACTCTAGGGGTATGTTATTCACTGTATAATTCTTTAACTCTAGGGGTATGTTATTCACTGTATGTACAATGTTGGTCTTTCACAAGCACATAAACATCTGAAAATCTGAAACTGACACAGTGGGTAACTATGCTGAGATCTTTTTTTAAGTCCATATCTACACAAGCAGTTTGAAAGTTTCGTCAATGTAATGCTACTCCTGATTTGTAGTGAGTGAGTGATCTGTACAGATAATATGACTGTAGTAACCTCCCACGCTGACAGAGTGTTGTAGTGAGTGAGTGAGTGATGTGTACAGATAATATGACTGTAGTAACCCGCCACGCTGACAGGGTCTTGTAGTGAGTGAGTGATGTGTACAGATAATATGACTGTCGTAACCTCCCACGTTGACAGGGTCTTGTAGTGAGTGAGTGAGTGATGTGTACAGATAATATGACTGTAGTAACCTCCCACGTTGACAGGGTCTTGTAGTGAGTGAGTGAGTCATGTGTACAGATAATATGACTGTAGTAACCTGCCACGTTGACAGGGTCTTGTAGTGAGTGAGTGAGTGATGTGTACAGATAATATGACTGTAGTAACCTCCCACGTTGACAGGGTCTTGTAGTGAGTGAGTGAGTGATGTGTACAGATAATATGACTGTAGTAACCTCCCACGTTGACAGGGTCTTGTAGTGAGTGAATGAGTGACTGAGTGATGCGTAAAGATAAAATGACTGTAGTAACCTCCCACGTTGACAGGGTCTTGTAGTGAGTGAGTGAGTGATGTGTACAGATAATATGACTGTAGTAACCTCCCACGTTGACAGGGTCTTGTAGTGAGTGAGTGAGTGATGTGTACAGATAATATGACTAGTAACCTGCCGTTGACAGGGTCTTGTAGTGAGTGAGTGAGTGAGTGAGTGATGTGTACAGATAATATGACTGTAGTAACCTGCCACATTGACAGGGTCTAGTAATGAGTGAGTGATGTGTACAGATAATATGACTGTCGTAACCTGCCACGTTGACAGGGTCCTGTTAAAGTGAGTGAGTCTGTGATGTGTACAGATACTGTGACTGTAGTAACCTGCCACGTTGATAGGGTCTTGTAGTGAGTGATGTGTACAGATAATGTGACTGTTGTAACCTCCCACATTGACAGGGTCTTGTAGTGAGTGAGTGAGTCATGTATTCAGATAATATGACTGTAGTAGCCTGCCACGTTGACAGGGTCTTTTAGTGAGTGAGTGAGTGATGTGTACAGATAATATTATTGTAGTAACCTGCCATGTTGACAGGGGGTAGTAGTGAGTGAGTGAGTGATGTGTACAGATGATATGACTGTAGTAACCTCCCACGCTGACAGGGTCTTAGTGAGTGAATGAGTGAGTGAGTCATGTGTACAGATAATATGACTGTAGTAACCTGCCACGCTGACAGGGTCTTGTAGTGAGTGAGTGAGTCATGTGTACCGATAATATGACTGTAGTAACCCGCCACGTTGACAGGGTCTAGTAGTGAGTGAGTGTGTACATATAATATGACTGTAGTAACCTGCCACGTTGACAGGGTCTTGTTTTGAGTGAGTGAGTGAGTGATGTGTACAGTGTTATGACTGTAGTTAGCTGCCACGTTGACAGGGTCTTGTAGTGAGTCAGTGAGTGGTGTACAGATAATATGACTGTAGTAACCTGCCACGCTTGACAGGGTCTTGTAGTGAGTGAGTGAGTGATGTGTACAGATAATGTGACTGTAGTAACTGCCCCGCTGCTGACAGGGTCTTGTAGTGAGTGAGTACAGAGTGAGTGAGTGATATGTACAGATAATGTGACTGTAGTAACCTCCCACGTTGACAGGGTCTTGTAGTCAGTGAGTGAGTGAGTGATTTGTACAGATAATGTGACTGTAGTAACCTCCCACCTTGACAGGGTCTAGTAGTGGGTCAGTGAGTGAGTGAGTGAGTGATGTGTACAGATAATATGACTGTAGTAACCTCCCACGTTGACAGGGTCTTGTAGTGAGTGAGTGAGTGAGTGAGTGATGTGTACAAAATATGTTACTAGTAAGCTCCAACATTGACAGGATCTAGTAGTCAGTGAGTGAGAGAGTGAGTGAGTGGGTTTTGGGGTGGGTGGGTGAGTGAGTGTGGAGTGTAGGGGCCCAGTTCCAAGCAGGCCTGTGTCCCAAGAGCTGTATAGGTAGTAACTGATGAAGCAGTGATGTGTACAGACAATGCGAATTGTGGAGTGTAGGGGCCCAGTTCTAAGCCCCCAGTGTCCCAAGAGCTGTATAGGTAGTAACTGATGAAGTGTTGTGGAGGCTGGGAAATAAGTCAATAATGAAACACAAGTGAATTAAAACTGACAACTGTTTCCAGATG